TACGTAATATTACGGTTTTCTTACGCTTCGTAAATTATTGCACAATATTACGCCCTATTAAATTTGCTGATGTAGTTAAGTGACTAAGCGACTGAGCGACTAAGCGACTAAGCGACTGAGCGACTAAGCGACTAAGTGACTGACCGACATAATAATACAAGATAATAATAATAATAATCTAAGATAATAATTAATAAATAATAAATAATAAAATAATAAACTAATAATTAATTCGTTCTATAACAATGCACTCTTAATACAATAAAAGCAGGATTGCCAAATTTAAAAAATAAAAAAAATTAATTTAAATTATTGCAAATAAATTATATATTTATATACTATAGATTTCTAAAAATAAGCCACTCTTTTTTGGCCAAAAAATTACACAAAAATTATAGAGATAGCTTATTTTTGGATATAATTGATTTTTGATCATTTTTAGTGATTTTTTATTAAATACAAATAGTTGCTATATATAAAAGTCAAATGCTACTATATAAATCTACAAAAGTCACTTGATAGGGATTGTTCAGGAGGTAAAAATATACATATTTTAAAAGTTTTATACAAATCAGATAACTTTTTACTAAGATGTTTTTGCATTTTATATTTTTAATATACAGTATAATGCAAAAACACCTTAGTAAAAAGTTTCCTGATTTGTATAAAACTTTCAAAATATTTGTATTTTTACCTTCTGAGCAATTCCTATTAATTGATAATCCGTTACTCAACAGGTGCATGATCATAGTGTAACATGACGCAGATCACTATATAAATCCAATTTAGGGTAAATATAGAAAATTTCTAATATTCATTCAAGAAAAACTTTTTTTACACTAAGTTAATTGACAAAGTCAATTAATTGAAAGTTGTAGAACTCGTCTTTGCGGTTCTAATGGTGGTTAAATTATCTAAATAGGCCTAGTGGATGCCAAGATATCTTTAAAAAACGTATCAATAACTATGTAAAATCTCTATATAAACAATGTATTGTGCACCAATTAAACTGGCAATTCAGCCAATATAAGTCTTGCGTTGGTCATTGATACGTTTTTTAAAAATATCTCGGCATCCACTAGGCTGATTTGGATGTTTTAACTACTATTAGAACCACAAAGACGAGTTTTACAACTTTTAATTAATCGACTTTGTTAATTAATTTAGTACAAAAAAAAGTTTTCCTTGAATGAATATTAGAAATTTTCCACATTCACCTTATATTGGATTTATATAGTGATTTGCATTACATTACACTATAATCATGTACCTGTTAAATGACAGATTATCAATTAAGTGACTTTTGTAGATTTACTTAGTAAAATTTTGATATTTATATTTAAAAAAATAGAAAAATTGCAGATGTAGCTTATTTTTAGAGAAAAGATATTTTTAAAATTTTCTTTGAAAGAAGGTGGTAGCTTATTTTTGGAAGTAGCATGTTTTTGGAAATATATATAGTAGTAAATTTTTATTAAATTATTTTAAAACATTTTGAATTAATTTTATTATATTTAAATTAATCAAAATAGTACGGTTTTACTATTGAACTTTTCTCAATAATCATTTAACCCAAAACTAAAGCTAAAAAAAGCTTAAAAATTAAACATATTCACACTAAATGAATACCAAAACCAGTTATAAGAAAAAAGACTGAGCAAAAAAATTCAACCCTACTCTATTAAAATGGTTTTGTTTAATTTAAACTTGGGTCTTTGCTACATAGAAATAGTTTTTTTAAAAAAATTTTAAAATTTTTTTTAAATTTTGGGGGATTGCTACATACCCTGTATTAACAGGGACAGCATGTAGTCCAAAATTTCCGGATCTGGACTGTAAATCATTTCCGACCTGGCTCTGAAATCTAATAAAATTTAAAACTTTAAGCAAAGATACCTCAACGACCACCTGATTAAATGCGATGAATTTTTTTATTTGAATTCTATGAATCTGTTTAATTCTGATAAAAAACTTTTTATCGAATTTGGTCGGGCGGGCACTGAGATATCTTCACTTAATTTGGGAAAAAAGTTCAAACTGTCTATCAAAATAGAAGCTGTGCCAAATTATTTTTAAAACATTGAGCAGAGATATCTCAATGATCATCTGACTAAATTTGATAAAGTTTTTTTTATATTAATTCTACAGATTAGTAAAATTCAAATAAAAAAAATTTCATTAAATTTGGTCAGGTGGTTGCTGAAATAACTTCGCTCAAAGTTGGACAAATTTCAAAACATCTATTAAAATAGAAGTTATACTGAATATTTTTAAAACTTTAAGCAAAGATATTTCAACGACCACCTGACCAAACTTGATAATTTATTTTTATTTGAATTCAACAGATTCGCAGGATTTAAATAAAAAAAATTTTGCTGAATTTAGGCAGGTAATCACTGATATATCTTCGCTCAAAGCTGGAAAAAAATCAAAACGTCTATCAAAATAGAAGCTGTGTCGAATTATTTTTAAAACTTCAAGCAAAGATATCTTGGTGATTACCTAACCAAATATAATTAAGATTTTTTTATTAAAATCCTACTGATTCATAGAATGCAAATAAAAAAAAATTTGCTGAATTTGGTTATCTGCTTGTTAAGATATCTTCGCTCAAAATTTTAAAAATAATTTGGCGCAGTGATATACGATATTTTAAAAATTTTTCAACTTTGAGTAAAGATATATCGGTGACCTCCTGCCTAAATTTTTTTATTTAAATCCTACGAATCTGTAGAATTCAAATAAAAAATAAATCATTAAATTTGGTTAGGTGGTCGTCAAAATATCTTCACTTAAAGTTTTAAAAATATTCAGTATAACTTCTATTTTAATAGATGTTTTGAAATTTGTCCAACTTTGAGCGAAGTTATCTCACCGACCACCTAACCAAATTTGATGAAAATTTTTTTATTTGAATTTTACTAATCTGTGAAATTAATATAAAAAAAGCTTCATCAAATTTAGTTAGGTGTTCATTGAGATATCTTTGCTTAAAGTTTTAAAAATAATTTGGCACAGCTTCTATTTTGATAGATATTTTGAACTTTTTTCCCAAACTGAGCAAAGATATCTCAGTGCCTGCCTGACAAAATTCGATAAAAAGTTTTTTGAATTCAAATAAAAAATTTTCATCGAATTTAATTAGGTGATCATTGAGGTATCTTTGCTCAAAGTTTTATATTTATTAGATTTCAGAGCCAGGTCGGAAATAATCTACAGTCCGGATCCAGAAATTTTGGACTACATGCTGTTTCTGTTACCCTGTATTGCAGACTACTAATGCAAAAAACAAACAAACAAATGCATTTGGCAAACAATCAATACTTCCAAATCAGGATTTACAAATCCAAAAGCAGATTAGATATTATTTCAACAAAACAATAAAACAAACATGTAATATATCTTAAAGTAAACAAACAAAATGCGTAAAATGTTAGAACTAACAGACTATAGAGATTTTTTTAACAAGTCCAATGAGGAAAGAGCAGTAGTACAAGAAAGACAAAACAAATTTATTTGGAAAGAAGATAGAATAATAGCAAAATATTTAAATACTAGTGAAATTTATCTTGTAGCAATTATATGTAATATGCTATGTTATATAGTTGTATTGAATACAAAAAATCAACAGAACAAAGCTTAACAAAAGAAAAACAAAATCTATTAAAATATTTAAATAATAAAGCTATACAAGTAAATATAATAGAATATAATCAATCAATCTCAAAATTCTGTTAGCAATGTTAAAGTTAAAGCTACTCTGATGGAAATCATAAATATACTGCCTATTGCTAGAGATAGTAAAAGTAATAACAATATAGAAATAGAAGAGAAGGAGGTAGTAATGTATAGTACAAAAGCAAATAAGGCTCAAAACAGTAAAAGTATAGTCAAAGATGAACTAATTCCAATGAAAACTCTTATATTACAGGCTGATAATAAAACAGCTTCTAATGTTGGCAATATTAGTAATTCAGAAATAAAATCACAAAATAATTCTTATAAACATAATTATACAGAACATAAAAATATGACGAAGTTATAATTAAAGGTAGAATTGGTAAAAGACACATTAGTTCAGACAGAGTATGGTACTATAGACCAGTATTGTTACTCAGACAACTCGGACAATACTTGGACAGAGTTTGACACTAAATAATACTAAATAGGGCAAGATTTTATTATCGTGACCTGCCTTCAATTATTAATTAAAGTTGTTCAGAATTGATTTTTGCATATATAAGTGTATTTTTAAGATTGAATTTGTAAGCCAGATGAGATTCGGACAGTCCGCCGGACAGTTTAAAAAGGCTCAAACATCCAAAATATACAACACTGCTATAGACTATGGTTTTAATGAACATATTGCAAAAAAAGAAGACAAAACAAATATTAAAAAATATAAAAAACACAAAAATATATTTAACTCAGTGTGGGCCCCAAAAACAAAATCGAGTCAAAAAAAAATATAAAGGAATCTATATATTTCTTTACATTATGGGATCTACCAAGAAGAATATGTATATCAGAAATTAAAAAATATTTGAAATACTATAGTACTGCATCTATTGTAGAATAGCAACAAAATTTTAATACCAAAGCAGTATATATTAAAATCATAGCAGATTCCGGGTATAAAGAAAAATTATTAAAGGAAGGTTAGTCAATTCAACTAGATGTAGGTAAAACACACCAGAAAGGTTTAATATTGCCAAATTGGAGGAAAGAAACAAATATAAAGAGTAATATCTAATATATCTACAACAGTATATGATGGTTTGCTTTTGCACCAACTTAGAAATTATAAGATACAAGCAGTGTATATTCTAAACAACTGTCACAGAAACCAAAGACAAAAAGCTTTTATATATTTTAAAACAGTGAAGGACCTCATTTAGGCCCAAAATTATAGTCTATACTACTATAATACTAAATAGCACTAGATAATATTTACAAAATACCTAGATAAAAAAAATCAAACAAATATGTATTTCTGTTATAAAAAAGAAGATTGGCATATTAACAAAGGAAAGAGGACATCAAACAAAACAAAATTATCTAAAGCTTAAAAAATATTTAAAAGTTACAATAATATTAGACAATCTAATAGAACAAATAAATTTTTCAGACTACATAGAAGCATGAGAAAGCTACTAAAAGAAGTAGTTAACTTTAGTACAAAAAAAGATGAAAATGTAGTTAATAAAGTGGCAACAGGCTCTAATAAAAAAAGAACTGAGTAAAAAAAAAAGTAAGCAAGTAGAGATAGAAGAGAATTCTGGAATTGAGAAATTGCTAGCGGATATGCAAAAAAAATTTAGAACAATAGAGCAACTATTTGCAATGAGCTTCTAAAATTTGCTCCAGTTGAATTAAAAAATTTGGACAAGGCAAAACACCTCATTAATGCTTTAGATACGCCCAATACAATTAGAAAAATAAGGCTTGTAAAGATAATATATACTTTGAGTTACTTAAAGTAGGTTTTCAGAATATTAATGGGCTAAAGTTGAACGAACAAAAGTTAGTAGTATTAGTGGATTGGGCCAAAAAAAAAAAGCTAGATATAATTGGTATAGCAGAAACTAATATAGAGAAAAAAGAAGAAAAGTAGATAAAAATAAACCAACAAGGTTATACTAGTTTCTGGACACCTAAAGATGTAGATAAAAACAAAGGCTTAGGGGTCGGTTTGTTAATTAATGAGAAGTAGTCAAGGCATATAGGCAAAGTGGTAAAATATAGCCCATATTTAATTAGAATTGAGTTTTTCTTTAAAAAAGTAGTTATTCAGGTTTGAGTAGTTTATTTACTATCTTCAAACAAAAGAATTAATAAGGAGGTTCAATGAATGATAATTAGAGAAATATGTAGAAATAAGATTAGCATGTATACTTGCATTATAGAAGATTTTAATGCAGTAGGTAATACATGTATAGACACAAGTAATAATGGCTACAAGCTTGGCAAAACTTTAATTGAGTGGCTTAAAAACAGAGATTTTATAGATTCTTTCTGTTATATAAATTCTCACAAAAAAGAATACACCTGGCAGAAAGACAATTTAGCATCAAGAATTGATTATATATAGCTAGATGAAGGTTTTCAAAATATAATCATAAAAGCAGAAATTATAGATTTAGATATTTTAACAAGACGTAATCACAAGTTTGTTTGAGCAGAAATAGAAATAAGTA